TATTTTGTGGAGCGATTATAGGAACTGGCCATTCTTTCAGAATGTTTAAAAAACCTCTTACAAAAATCAAGAAAAAAAAGGAAGCATAAACTACATGAAGACCGAATGCATGAGCATAAATAAAAAGAAAAGCCCAAACCAAAATTTTACAGGTTGGGGACACTAAAATCAAGCAGGTGCAGAAATTTAAATATATGAGAATAACAGTATTGAACTACCATGAAATATATATCCTCCTTTATAACATGGAATGTTGGACAGTCTTTCAAAAATGAAGAAGAGACTCGAGCCAACAGGATATGGGTATGGACTATAGACTGAACATGTTATTTTGATGAGGTTTTGGAGAGGATGCCAAAAAAAATTGTTCTTATACTTAACATCAGGAAGAGGCAGCTGAAATTTCTGGGACACTTCGATGAGAAAGGAGGGCTTGAAGAATCTGATACTCACAGGTTGAATAGAGGTAAGAGAGAACAAGGAAAGCAATGCAATAAAATACCTAACGAGCTTAAACAAGTGGATGACAGAACAGGGTCTGGGAGAAGTATTAAAAAGGAAATTTATATAAAGAGAATTACAAGGGAATGATGGCGGTCTTTCCATTTTGATCGCCTACATCCTGAAGGGAAATGGCACATAAAAGAAAAAGAAACAATGACATGAATATACAATTTCCATTTGATGTCTGGGGTGAGCCTTAGGCTGCATTATGATTGGAACAAATTTAGGGTCTGCTCAGTGGTAGTGAAATGTTAGTAGCTCTGTTTTGGAGGGGCTTTGTTTCATGGATAAAAACTCAATTTAAAAGAATTATCTTTTTTTCTTTGAGTTCGAATTCCAGTCAGGTTCATTGCATTCTGTTTACAATGCAAATACCCTTAAAAAAAAGGTATGAATCCATCTTTTCTGTCCATATTCTATGGGTAAATATCAGAATAGATTGAGGATAACATGGACCGAGCATGTGAGCAATGATGAGTTCCATTTTAAGAGGATGCCAACAAAAAAGAAAGCTTATATAGTTTTAATACCAGGAAGCGGCAGCTGAAATTTCTGGGACACTTACGCGTTATGAGAACGGGACTTTTCAGAGAATCTGATTATTACGGGTCGAATAGAGGGAAAGAGAGAAAAAGAAAATTTGAATGACATTTCTTTTTTCGGGCTTAAAATAAGTGGATGACAGAACGTGGTCTGGGGGAAGAAACAGGAGAAACAGTTTTGCTGAGAGCTTTTGGGATAGAAGGAGCCATGATCGGAACGTCCTGAAAGGACATGTTTTTAACATAAAAGGAAAGAAAAATCGTTAAATTTCATTTCAGAAATATAGACATATCAGTAGTGAGAGGCTTATCAAAATAACATCTGTCAAAATAATGGTTGAAGGGTAGAGAATATTTGAATTGCCTTTAAGACCGCTTTTATTGCTTTAAAAATTTTATATAAATGGACAGAAATTTAAGAAAATTGAAAGCTCCAGGAAAGATATGGTAGCAATATTCTATGTTTGGTCTGATCCTTTCTTGTAAAGATAGAGCATGACAGCAGGATCTTAACAACATATTTTTGTGGAGCGAACAAGGAACAGCCATTCTTTCAGTATGTTTCAAAACCTCTTACAGAAGATAGCGAAGGAGAGCAAGAAGAAAGGACTAAGCATAGACTATAAGAAGACAATGCATGGTCATCAGCAAAAAGATGAGCCTGAAATCCGATTTTCAAGTCGGGGAGACTAAAATAAAGCACGTGCTGAAATTTAAATATCTGGAAAGAATTCTGACAAAGATCCGAAGACGTATTGGAATAGCCAAAGAAACATTCTAAAAGCTAGCCAGAATATTACGAGAGAAAAGGGTTTCGTTGATAATAAAGAAAAGAGTGCTGTCCTCCTTTACGGCAGCGAATGTTGGACAATCTCCTGAAAGATGAAGAAGAGACCCCGAGGTAACAGAAGTGTGGTTCTACAGAAGGATGCTAAGGATACCATGGGCTGAACATGTGAGCAACGATGAGGTTTTAGAGAGGATACAAAGAGGAAACTTATACCTAACATCATGAAGAGATAGATGAAATTTATGAGACACGTAATGAGAAATGAGGGCATGGAAAATCTGATACTCACAGGGCGGATAGAGAGAAAGAAGGACGAGGGAAAGCAATGCGTGACATATTTAATGGGCAGAAGCAAGTAGATGGCGGGATGCGGTCTGAAAGTGATAGCGGGAGGACGCAACTTATTGAGAGCTACAAGGCACATGATGAAGTGGAGAGGAATTATTCCACGGAGTCGAATCACACACATTTCTCCCGTATTCCAATTGCAAAGAGGAATTTTCATACAGTTTTTCCTTGAAACTGAGACTTAGTGAAATAATCTCTGGGTAAGACGATAAACTACGTCCAACAGCAAGGCCTCGGATCAGATGTGACATCTTCACGTTTTAGTGGCTTTATTGCTTTGCTTGGTTTAAAAAAAAAAAACATTGATATTTAACTTGAAGAGGCTAGGATTTTTTTTTCTTTTCAGGGAAGCATACAATTGGTTTGGTTTTACTTTGACTTGTTTTGTTTTACGGTATATCAACCTCAATGCGTCATTTAATGCCGATAACTTTTTTGTTCCAGGTAATATTTTTGTTTTGTCAAAAATGTATTGCTGGTAATATTTTCTTTTCCTCAAAAATGTATTGCTGGTAATATTATTTTAAAAAATGTATTGCTGGTAATATTTTTTTTTCCTCAAAAATGTTTTGCTGGTAAATATTATTTTAAAAAAATGTATTGCTAGTAATATTTTTTTCTTCAAAAATTTATTTCTGGTACCTATTTATACACTTTCATAATGCTTTTTACCTTAGTTTCGGGGTTAACTAATTGCCCATAACTAGGACCCTAACAGATGCTACCACCCCGGATCAGGGTGAACCTGGGAACACCAGCAATTAAGAGGTGGTTCCACGCTCCTCAAAGCCTCCTGACCCGAGGCCTTGCTGTTGGACGTAGTTTAATGTCTTACCCAGGACGCGGATGTAGTTTATCGTCATACCCAGGACGCGGATGTAGTTTATCGCCATACGCAGGACGGGAAGCATCCACTTGAAAGATTATTTCACTAAGTCTCAGTTTCAAAGAAAAACTGTATGAAAGTTCCTCTTTACAATTGGAATACGGGGGAAATGTGTGGGATTCGACTCCGTGGAGATAGTATGGCGAGTTCTAGCTGTAAAGTCTGATTTGATGGAGCCAGACAGTGGGGTTATTCTGAACATTTACCATGTAAATTGCAGCAGATTAACGGAAGGCTTGAGACGGTGCTCCTGTGTGGAAGTGGTCGTAGAGCGCGAAAGAATCATCGCTTACAAGATCACGCGAGATTTTGAACTTCCCCAAGGCTGGATATTGAGTATTGAGCAGCTCCAGCCATGAAATATCAGCAATAGTTATATTTGCTTTTTTTTTGCAGGAGGGGGAATAAATACAGTACAGCAGAAGAAGTCAGATACTTCCTTGAGCAGTAGAATAATCCAACCATTTTCCCACCACCTTCAGTAATTTATTTTAACCCTAGAACATTAACCATGGCTATATAGTACCCAGCGCAAATTTTCCTATTTTTAATTACAATTTTCAATACCTGATTTTCTTACCTAAATAATATATTTTTTCAGTTCCTATTAATGTTAACTAAAAGTACAAATTTTGGAGTGTCTTCATGTAAAATATTTCAAATAAAAATTTATTTTTAATATTTTTTTTTTTTATATTTTCAAAATCGGATATGATATACCCATGGTTAGTAGTGGTGTAACTTTAATTGATGGTTAGTGTTCTAGGGTTAAGCATCTACTACTTTAGGGTGTTTATAGCTATGCTTAGTTTACTAATCGGGTTGCCTGAACATAGGATATTCCCTGATTCATGATTCATTGTATTTTCTTATTCTGCGTGCCGAATGTATGGAAAATGGTTGGACGCGTAACGTGATGCCTATTGAGATTGGGTGTCGTGGGTTTCTGGGACATTCGGCCATTTCATTCCTTTCAAAAATAGGCATCACTGGCCGTTGGTTGAAAAGCGTTTCGCATCGCATTCAAAAAACTGTTCAACACGCGTCAAGTTGGATTTGTTCGAGATCAAAACAGGCAAATAAAATGCGCGCAACATCACGACCTAACATGCGCAGGTGAAATATTTGCGTGGTCGTCTATAAGGATTTTTACGAGCGCGTCAATAACAGCAAACGCGTTCAAGAAACTTTCATTACAGATAGAATTTACTTAAAGAAACGATCAATTATCTTATCTTCATACCCTGCCTGCTGGCAAATGCTGCTGGTGACGCCAGGGGTGGCGGTCCCGCCATAGCCACCGAAACCGTGATATCACTCCTGGTCGGCGGCTGATGAAGACAGGGTATCGCACGTGCTAACAGAAGTTGTATGTTAAAAAAAAAATGCTGTTTTGTGTCTATGATTCCAACTTCGTTTTCAGTATGCATAGCCATGAACAACAACAACAACAAAAAAATGCCGATAAAGGTATCAAGCGTCCGGGGGGTGGGATATGGTAAGGCCAATTTAGGTGACATCTCAGCAGTTATAAGTGTTACGATGTCTGATATATTTTATGGAGCGTCAGAAGAAAAATGATTTTTGTTGGTTAGATTTCTCATAAAGAAAATGGTGTTTATTCATTCTCGCTTATTCTGCGAATGCTTTTTTTTTTTTTTTTTTTATTTATTTTTTTTATCTGCATTTGCTTTTGTTTCCTTCAGCGTATTTTGAATTCCTTTACCATTTTCTCGGGAGTTCTTCATGCTGGGAGAACTGTCTGTAGATTCTTGGACGTTAGTTCTTTGCATTTATTTATCGCTTCCTATTACAGATCATTCTTTTCAATGTTTTTTCTTTTTTTTTTTTCGCTATTTCTCTCACCTTTTAAGCGCGATTTCTTTCATTTACACTGTATTGCTTTTCGCGTATTTCCCAAATCGTTTCG